TAACTTGTATTTATAAAAACAACTTCCCACATCTGAGTGAAGAGCAACATGACAGCATCATCTTTCTTAGCTTGCACACTGCCAGTTCCATCCCAGTTCCTTTCATATAGGCATTCATCAGAGCAAGGAAAATTACCAAAGCATTTCACATACATAACCAGTATCCAGACCCCAGAGAATGGACTGACAGGGGTCAGGCTGACGTTTGCGTTGCAGTGCTGCTGAGGAAAGCAGAGAGGAGTGGCAGAGGGGGGATGCACAGCTATTCACAAGGGAGGCTGTGGGAAGGAAGAGAAGTGCCACATCATCCTTCCCCTTTCAGTAGCATCCAGGAGGTTTGAGGAGAGGGAGATAGCACAGTTCTTTTCTATGGAAAACAGGGAAGTAGAAAACCTCAAGTACAACTAAAAATAGCTGTCCTCCACACTGGCTGAAAGCCTATCCCCAACACATCCAGAAAGGACAGGTGGACTTCTCACTGGCACCTCAGTGGAAAAAAAAAGCCCTAAATAACCCCCATCTTTCACATCCACTCCTGGTTATTCAGTTGTGTCACAAAGAGAAATTGCCTAGATAAAGACATAAGTAGGGCTTAAAAAGCAAGTTCATTCTGTGATAAAGTGTTAGAGGATAATGGTTCTCAGAGCAGTTTGGAGAATTTAGTCATTTTCTTCCCTGAATTTTCAGCCGAGTCTTCAGGTGGCTTAAAAACGTGCTTTAAAAAGTTTCAGTGTAAGTTGAGGGGTTTTAATGGAAAAAGTCCGTATTTGCTAACCAGACTTGCTTTATATGCTGATACATAAACACACACGGTTGTCAAGCTACATTTGCCCTGGCAAAGGCAAACTTCAAATTTCTAGAGCTGTGTATATTTCAATTCTTGACCACAGTTTAACATTAGTGTATTTTTTGTTACTTTTTAAAACACTACAGTGATTAATGACAGCGAAAGAAACACACTGCATGTGTTTACTTTGATGTGTTTCACACGAACATGTTAAAATATACACACTAAATGTGAGTTTTAAAACTTTAATTTAAAACAAAAAGAAAAACAAAAAAAACCCCAAAGGAACTTTTAGCACTCACTTGCTCTGCTTTCTTCATGCATAGATTTATGAACACTGGGAATGAGTCCAGCTGAGCCCTAAGTTGCATCTTATGTAACGTGAATAATTAAGTAGACAATCCGTCCTAATGTAGCTGTTTTTAATGAACTTCACATCTTTATTTAGTTGGTATGTTCTTTTCCTAACCTTCTAGTAACACACTGAAGTTACCCATCCCTGCTAAGCCTGGGAGACACCTGCACATAGGGAGCACTCTGTGTAACAAACCCAAGGGATACAGTGTCCCACCTCTACCTCAACAGTCCTCTGCCTTCCCAACCCTGATAGCCACCCTCCAACTCTAAGGCCTGCCCCATGCTATCTCAAGCTCAGCACCTTCTGCTCTGCCCTTTTGTATATGCAGCCTGGCCCTGCAGCTGCCTTAGAATCTAGAATCATTTAGGTTGGAAAAGACCTTTAAAACCATCAAGTCTAATCATTAATCTAACATTGCCATCCCACCACTAAACCACGGCCCTAAGCACAACCTAACATTGCCATCCCACCACTAAACCATGGCCCTAAGCACCTTGTCTGCCCATCTTTTAAATACCTCCAGGGATGATGACTCAACCACTTTCCTGGGCAGCCCTTCCAGAGAAAATTTTTTTCCTGATGTTGAACCTAAACGTCCCTTGGTGCAACTTGAGGCCATTTCCCCTCATCCTATCGCTGGTTATCTGGGAGAAGAGACCGACCCCCACCTCGCTACAACCTCCTTTCAGGCAGTAGTAGAGGATGATAAGGTCTCCCTTCAGTCTCCTTTTTTCCAGACAGTAGCTCAGCCAGTATCTCTTCCCCCCACTGTGAAGAGAAGCACAGCTCTGCCCATTTAGTTCTCAAGACCTCCCCAAGTTCTGTGGGGTCCGTCACTGCAGAGAGGACAGCAGTGATCATACCCTCATGAACAGTCTAAGACACAGCCTTCGGTACCAGTATCTCGTGATGATGGGATCAGAGTACACGCACATTCTCCACACAGCTGCCACAGAAGATGGTTTACCAGAAGGGACGTGCACATGCGTGCACACACAAGAAGAAGGGAGGAGCAGGCAAAGGCAAAATTGGTTTCTTTGAGTTTCTTTTACCTTCAGTTTCCTCAAAATGTAGGCAATACCCCAGTCTATTTCCAGGGGCATCGGAAGTATATTTTTGTTACAGATTGGCTCTGCTAGATGTCGAGTTGGCAGATAAAAAGAGGCAATTGGGAGAATGCTTGGAAAACTGGATGCAATATTAACATGGCCTTAAGGGCAAAGAAGGCTGTATTTATCTGAATTTAAACACTTCATGACTAGGAAAATGCTGAGCAAGGGATTTCTGAAGTTAGGTGTCCAAACCCAGCTTGTGTGTGTTCTGGCCTTTAACCAGGAAAGGTAACTGAATTTCTTTAATGTCATTACGTTTATCAGTCCTTGTATTTGGACAAGGATCTCTTATAGCTAAATAAATAAAGACTTCTTAAAAAGCAGTACTGTAGCAATTTTCTAGCAAAACTAAGAGTTAAACTAGTTGTTTTTTATTTTTAAGTTTCTTAACTTAAACTATTCTTAACTTTCTTAAGTTTTAAGATTCACATCCAGATAAGAAATCTTACAGAAAGTAAGCAGACAAAAGGGACGTTACAGGAAGAACTTTTTTGTTAAATACTGAAGGAAAACATCAGATGATTGCCACCACACTTACTACAACAGTTTCCATAGCTCACCCCTGAGATCTTGCTCAGCTACAAGAACAACAAGTGAGAGAGGTTAACAGGTCACACATAGTCAGTACTATTCAGCTTACTAACAGATGTGGCAGTACAGCATGCTATTCTCCTAGGACAACATTCACTACAAGGATGCAAAAAACTGACACAGGGGTACGGAAGGGCTCAATTAATCCTGTCCCAAGGAGGCATCTCAATTAGCAAGCCACTCTCTAAACTGCCAGGGAAGCCAGATGAGAGGCATTTCCAGGAGGCAGCTGAACCCACCTAAATCCTAAACCCACCTGTATCATCCCTTGCAAGTCTATGCCTGTTGCCATTGAGCTTACGGACACCTCCAGCACACAGTCAATCTGGATGCAGTACTGCTACAGCTGTACCAGAGAAGGGAGTCCTGAGGTAAGCACAATGCAGGACAATTAAATGCCAACGCTGGGCTGATAAGTATGTCTGCTTTGCTTAAGTTACAGTCTACTGTTTATTCACTATTAACCAAATCACACAAAGTCCATCTAAAAATGTGGGTGATATACCCATCAGTTGTACTGGAGTGTACAGATGGAACCTCAGAATCCTGAAGCTGAGTAAAAGAGACAATAAAAGCTTAAACAAACTTTCCATTACAGAAAAGGAGAAAAGCCTATCGTATTTTGTAGACATACAACCAGGCAAATTCTACAAAATATATGAACAGAACAAAGTGAAAATGAACCAGCTGTCAAAGGACTTCTGGCAATAATTTCTTCCACAATGGATAGATATGAGGCACTAATGGATATGGCCATTGAAAAAAAAAAAGTGTTAGCTGGTACAGCAACACAAATAAATTGGAAAAGAACATAAAACTCCCACTAAGATCTAGGAAACTGTTATGGATGATGCAAGGTCTATTCACCTTTTTTTTTTTAAAAAAATCACTTATCGAATACTATATATAACATACTAATACCAAGTTATATGGAACTCCCATTCAAAAATGCCAGCCAAGCAAGCAAAAAGGCCATAAACATCTGTCAATTGCTTAAGAGGAAAAAACTCTCTTGAGAGCACAAATTTCCCTACCACCATCACCCTGCAAAAAAACAGGATTATTTAAAAGTCTGGAAATACAAAGTTAAGATTTAATTTAAAAACAGATATTAAACCATACATCACCTACACAAGTCTTTTCCATTTCCTTCTTAACTTCTAACCGTGCACAAAAGGTGTGTCAGATGGAGAGGTTCTAATGGAGCCCACTAAATGGATATTCTATGGAAGACCTTAAACTGTGTAGCCTAAGGGTACAGATATGTTAGATCTAATAATAATTTTCTTGATGTTCTTTTTAGAAACAGTCAACCCTGAAGTAGATGGTTTTAATTCAATACCTATGTCTTCTGTCCTGCAGCACACCTTGAAAAAAGCCCAGTGAAAATTAATTAATAAATCTAGTACTTTGTATCGTCCAAACTTCTGACAATTTTTAGAAGTTATAAGGTAATTAACTATTAGCATAATGAATGAATTCAGGTATGCACAGACTGAGGATACAGTTTCATGACCAAAGATCACAGGCCATTGAAAAGCACAGTACTGAGGTCCCCACCTCTGCTCCCTCCCTGTTGTGCATCTCTGCTGCTTTCTTTTCATCCAAACTGGCAATCTTGTGGCCACACAGCAAGTTGGCTCAGTTCACTGATCCAGCTGAGAAATAACCAGTCACAAAAAAGAAGTATTAATTTTCACACAGATCAGTAAGCTATTCTCACCATATGATTACACGATCACTGTAACAAAGGGACAGAACCCATGGCAGGAGCAGATGGCACAGAGTATTAACCTAGTCTATATGTGACACTGGGGTCTTTGACCAGTGTGAACTAGTTAGAAAACTAAATCGTATGTGACACTGCAGAGGTGGGAAAGCAAGAGATGAGCCACAAGACTACATGGTTGTTTCCCTAGCTCACAATACTCTCAGGGGAGTACTAAATGGCACACAGCTCCATTTACTTCTGCAAACAGCCTCTTTTGCAGGTGCTTACATATAAGGTATGGCTTTGCACTTGCACACACTTGATTTTTGGAAATAACCTTCTTAGTTGTTACTCAGTTACGTTAACTTGATGTTACCTCACCACCTTACCCTCTCCTTGACCATACATAGTACTAGCTTCAGTGATGGGACTTTTACTATGCCTGTGGTAAAAGACAGAATGGTTATCAGTTTGGTAATCACAGCATTTATTATTTGGTGCCCTAAGGAAATAACGTTTAATGTGACATAATTTACACCCCTTAAAGTCCTTCTGGCTCCCCCTTCACCTGAAAATCCTACGACAAAACACAACAGATATCTAAAAATGGCACTATTTTCTACCTTGAGCAAAACTTCACATGGAAATGCTACCAGATGGTTTGAGTGGTCTTTTGCTCCAGTACGTAGCGTGCAATACAGCTAAATATTAAGACTTCTGCCTGAGAGCATCTTTTTGCTTCCCCTTATGCTGGCACAGTTCACTTCTTAGGCCAAAAACACATGTTCATGGACTCACTGGCAGCAAGGGACAGTACTAATTCATCCGTTACTGAAATCTAGATGCTAGGCAGATCATGCAGGGGTTTGAGCTGAACGAAGAAGAGGTCAATCTTGACAAGTTCAAGAACAGGTTATCGCTGAAAAGGATAAAAACTTCAGACTTCCCTTCTCAATATTTATAGGGTCAACACTGGTGCAGCTGTATTACTGGCTGAATCAGCCCTATTCCCACGTGCAGAGAGGCCTAAGTTGGCATAAGGTGGTCTCTTCCAAGCCAGATGGCAGAAAGCAGAAGTAGGAGATGGTGTTACACATTAAAACATCTCTTTTCAGTTATTTTATTTGCTATGCTTCCTTCTGGCTCCTTAGCTTGCCAGTTATATCTGCTTTATACACAGCTGAGCTCTGTATGCCTTTTAAGAGATGACATATAAGAAATGGTGCAAATTACCTGCAGGCAAAAGGCTTTGTTCAGGAGACGCAAATGCCAATTTAGGGTTAAGTAAAATATACCCACAGAGTGCTAACTTCTAAAATAAGCATATTCACATTCCCCTTATTTAAAAGGTATATAAATATGTGCACATATTTCATATAATCTTTCTCATGCTTTAAGTCAGCTGTTAAAAAACATATGTATATGTTTATTGTAAATATTATCTCCAATTTCTTTACCTAAATTATTATGGAAGTATTAATGTTTAAGTATCCCGCTCAATTTTGACATTCATTACAACTTCTGAATCAAGCTCCTTAGCAGCCCAGCAGTGTGGTCTATTTTCTAGTAGATAAATTGAACTGTTTTTTAAATGCTAAATAAAAGCATGCATCAAAGTGTTAAGTGCAAGGTGCAAGAAAAAAACATAAACCCTGCCTATTTCAGGTTTTAAAGCAAACTACTTGTATGCATTAAGTATTCCACAGCTTCTTTTGCTATGACATCTTCTCTCAATATGACCCAAAATTTTCAAGTCAAATGCTTTCTCTGTTGCTGCAAAGAGACAAAAGTTCTTTAGTCTCATTTGAAAGAATGAAGGATTAATTTAATGTGTGCTGATGCCCTATGGTTTGGCATCACAGTCCATTTATTTCTGCCTCCATCTGACTTTTGGCATATATGAGATTTGTTCAAACAACTTGCCAAGTCTAATGTGAAACTGCTCCTTCTATTTTTAAATAAGTAATTCCTAAAAATAATAGGATTGTTATATTCCCCCCCCCTTGCAATCCTTCCAGTGCTATTCACATGGCAGTTCCCATAAAACAATGAAAAAGCTAATCAATTTACTGTTTAAGAAAACACCAGACTGAAAAAAATGTAGTCAAACTTGTCTAGCTCAGAAAAACAAAGGTTGAAAATAATTTTGAGTTTGCAGCTAACCCCTACTTCTTTTCCTAATACAGACAAACACAGAACAAATTAAATACAGCAGTCTTAACTTTAGGTGTAGAGTGGAACACCAGATTTCGAAAACTGCCTTCAATTCCTGACCTCTTTGCTAAAACCAGCAAAGAATATAAATAGTTCCAGTTCCGACATAACACCTATCCCTGAGCAAGTGTACTGAAAAGAGACTGCCCTTCACACCCGTCCTCTTAAGCAGCTAGTGTGATTTTGGTTGCTATTGGTAAGGCCAGTTTGAAGCCATTACATAAGAATGTTTATTTGTTATACAGAGCCCAGATGAGATCTATGCCACGCACAGCAACTTTATTGCAGTATGTTTCCAGAGCCCTGCCCTTAGAACCCGACAATTAGGTGGGGTCTCAGTATTATTTCCCTATCTAGAAAATAATTTCCAGTTCTTATGATTTTCAGGGAAAACATTAAGAATGGTAGTTCCATGGGCCCAACTCACAAAGCAAGTAGAAATTTCCTATACCCACATAAAAAGGAAATCTCCTTGGTTCAGGTAGCAGGATTTAAAAAAAAAATGTACATGAATACTCAGTAAACAGACAGAATCTCCTCTACTAAAGCACATCATCAGTGACTTCCTAGCTGTGAGATGGCCAGGTCTTAATCCTCATGAGCTACTTCTTTTCCCTCGTACCTGTTCAGTAGCTGGACCAATACAACAGGAGGCCTGCGGAGGAAGCTCTACATTCTCAAGGGCAAAGAGGGGCTCAGACGCACAGGCAATATAACATCCCTGATTATCCATCTACTACAAGAAATGCAGAAAAGCACAACCTGGAAACTCGGCCACCCACCAATGAAGTCCATGTGGGTCCTTCAGGACTTATTAGCACTTTGGTGTCTTTGTACCATGATTCCTCCAGAACTCCAGATTCGGGAGGTCTTCTTAACCATCGACGTCAACTACCCTGCACAAAGCAAGTTCAGATCCAGATTTCCAGCCAAGCTAATAAAATCCCCTGGAACGTGGAGCACAGCACAGAAACACCCAAGTGGGTCTGCACAGAGCCAGCTTGGGTCCATCAGGACTTATTCGTTCAGACACTGAAAGCAGCTGGGCTGCAAAGCTGGTCCTGGAAATAGCAGAGACATATTAACATGGCGCAGCACTTGAACTAATAAATTGTTAGTGCTGAGCTGAGTCCGTTCTAAGCCAAATCTGGTGCCTGTATATCCACAGCATAGTTAATCTGCAACTGGAGAAACTGCCCAAAGAGTTGACTCTATTTCGAGCCCAGCACGCAAAGCTTTCTCCCTACCCACATGACGTTTTACGGCTCTCTCCCTACCCACATGAAGATTTCTGTCCTCATCACCTCCCTCCATCTGCCCTCCTCCTGTTTGTTCACTGTTTTCTCTCTTGACTATGTAAAACCCATTTCTCAACTTTCCTCTAAATGTCCA